TGTACTATCATTATTATTGCTGGTGATGAATAGATATTTGTTTTGCTTTGAAGATTTAGCAATAGAGGAGAAAAAGAGTGTGTAGAGGGTTGAAAACAACCAGGAGGCCGGCGCCGTGGCTCAACAGGCTAATCCTCCGCCTTGCGGCGCCGGGACACCGGGTTCTAGTCCCGGTTGGGGCGCCGGATTCTGTCCCGGTTGCTCCTCTTCCAGGCCAGCTCTCTGCTGTGGCCCGGGAGTGCAGTGGAGGATGGCCCAAGTCCTCGGGCCCTGCACCCCATGGGAGACCAGGAGAAACACCTGGCTCCTGCCTTCGGATCAGCGTGGTGCACCGGCCACAGTGCGCGGCGGCCATTGGAGGGTGAACCACGGCAAAAAGGAAGACCTTTCTCTCTCTCTCACTGTCCACTCTGTCAAAAAAAAAAAAAACAAAACAAAACAAAAAAAAAAACAGGAGGACACAGTATCAAGGAAACTAAAGAAAGAGCAGATTCCAGGTAGTGGTGTCCAGCTAGCAGTATCACATAGTAGGGGCTGTAAACATATCACATAGTAGGGGCTATAAATGGAAGAGTGGGGTGTCAAGGTGAACATCAAATGAGCAGTGATTTTCGTATATGATTCAGAGGTTATTGGTGACTTTCAGAAGTGCAATCTGAGTAGGATGGTGGGATCAGAACTGATTTAGGGTTTATGGAGAGAATAGTAGTGGGATAATAGCAGCTAACATAGGAAGACATTAAATGTGGATTAACAGTAGCAGTAAACCTGCAGATTAGCACATTTGCAGCCTGGCTAAGGAGCATTTTCTTTGCAGAGGAGTAGTAGAAAATGATAAGGTCTGAGCTGGTGGTGGGCACTTTTAACCCTTGATCCTGCTGTGGATAACACATCTGCAAGGATACTTTTCTGTGCCATGACTTAGGTTAAGTGGAAGGTTCTGGAAAGCCATGGGTTTTCTTTCCTGTTCATGCAAACTAAGGGAGGCTTCGAGTCAAGATCCGTCCTGCATGTCGATGGGCAGCCAGGATGCCGGGTTGCGCACTTGGACCGTTTGTGGTGGGCCGGTAGTGCTGGGTGAGAGCGCCACCCTTAAGTCCCCAACCACTCAACCACTCGGCCAAGTGGATCTCTTGCCTCTGCATGTTCCCCAAAGCGCTGCTGGGTAAGAGGCTGGGGAAGGCAGGTATGGACGAGCAGGATCTCCGTTTGCCTGCTAGTGCATGAAGGTGGAAGAGAAAGAGAAACAACTTAAAATCATTTCATATCCAGCCAAGACTGAGATGGAGGCCTCCTGGCCTGAAGTGCAGATCGTTCCTGCCGCACCACGCCGGCAGGTTGGAGGCTTTCAGGTGGCGGGAAAAGGAGGGCTAGCATCACCGTTCAGGACCGGCTCTCCAGCAGAGCCACCAAAGCCGACGTCACCGCTTCTCCCGCTAGTTGCTATTGAGAATGGGCCGAGAGGACGCTCTCCGAGCGCGCTTGTATCTGCCTGCAAGACTGAGTCATCGGAAAGAAACCTAACTCCGCCCGGCCGGAACCTGCACGCAGCACCGTGACTACCCCGGGCAGAAGCCGCCTGGATCACTCAGCTGTGGTTTCTCTGCTCCAGTCTGTTCCCCAGTGCCAGGTCATGGGCATCGTGACTTACAGAAGGAAAGGGAACCCACTGATAGTGTCCTGACTACGGGGTGCAGGGCTCAGAGTACAGGCCACTGACTCCTGGCACCTGTTTGTTAGGGTGCCGCTCTAGGCAGCAGGGGTGTGAAGCATCCTACCCACGTCCATGGCCAGTGACCAGTCCACTTTTCACCTCTTGCGCAGAGCGTCCCCCTGAGTGTGCCCGCTCTGAAGTCACTGACACATCGCCTTGTACTTCCTTCTCCCTCATCCTGCCCGGCAGCCTCTCGTGTGTGGCACCAGACATACTGCCTCAGTCTCGCTGCTTTTGTTCTTGTCTTTAAAAAATGTGCATGGACATATTCATTCTTGACTTACAAGCAAACTTTCGATATTGCGATTGTCCTGTGAAGTTCTCTTGGAGGAAGTGAGAAAGGGTGAGCTTCCAAATACAAAGGTTTAGTGGAGAACTCGTGAGTTGCTTCCTCCACATCAGATGGGCTTCCAGGAAGCTGGTTTAGCTTAGCTAGCACCTTGCTGCCAGTTATGACGTTTGTTTGTAGCTGTGTAAATGGGGAGAAATTTTAGAAAGGAAAACCAGATTTCAGACTTGACATCATACATAGAAATAGCCAAACCTCACAGTTTGTGGGTTCTATATTTGCCAGTTTGCCTACTTGTTAAGGATTTGTAGAAATCTGTTTGCCTTGACTTCTTTTGCATATCTCCCCAGAAGTGGAATTGCTGGATCGTACGGTATTTGATTGTTTAAGGAACCACCATGCAGTTTCCTACAGCAACTTTGCCGTTTTAGATTCCCACCCGTGTGCACACTAAGTTCCAGTTTCTCCGTATCCCACCAACACTTATTTTCTTTGTTTTATAATGGCCATTATACTGGGTAAAATCCAGTGTCTCATTGTAGTTTTGATTTGCATTTCCCTCATGATTAGTGATGCGTTGAACGCCCTTCCATTGGCTGACTGGCATTTGTGTATCTTCTTTGGAGAAATGTCTAGTCAGTTCCTTTGCACATTTAAAAAATTGGGTTGTTTGTCTTTGTTACCAAGTTGTAGGGGTCCTAGTACAGTGGCTCAAACTAGAAATCTGCTAACACCAAATGTCCACAAGACTGATGAGAGTATGCCTGGCACATTGCCATTTTGGAATAGTGTTTGGCAGGATGTACCCAAGATGAAAGTGTGTTCACAAAAAGACTTGTATAAGAATATTTATAGCCCTTTTATCACAATAGCCCCAAAATGGAAACAAGTGTCCATTCATAGGAGGATATATTTTTTAAAAAAAACTGGCCAGTGCCACGGCTCAATAGGCTAATCCTCTACCTGTGGCGCCAGCACACCGGGTTCTAGTCCTGGTCAGGGCGCCGGATTCTGTCCCGGTTGCTCCTCTTCCAGTCCAGCTCTCTGCTGTGGCCCAGGAGTGCAGTGGAGGATGGCCCAAGTCCTTGGGTCCCTGCACCCGCAAGGGGTACCAGGAGAAGCATCTGGCTCCTGGCTTCAGATCAGCGTGGTGCGCCGGCCACAGTGGCCATTGGAGGGTGAACCAACGGAAAAGGAAGACCTTTCTCTCTGTCTCTCTGCCTGTCAAAAAAAAAAAAAATAAAATAAAAAAATAAAAAAACCTGATATTTTCCTATAGTGAAAAAATTTTTCAGTAATAAAAGGGACAAACTATTGGTATACTTACCAGTATAGATGAATCTCAGAGACAAAACTGAGTGTTTAAAGACAGACACCCGGGGCCAGTGCTGTGGTGTAGCAGTAAAGCCGCCACCTACAGTGCTGGCATCCCACATGGGCACTGGTTCAAGTCCCAGCTGCTCCACTTCCAGTCCAGCTCTCTGCTATGGCCTAGGAAAGCAGTACAAGATGGCCCAAGTCCTTGGGCCCCAGCACCCATGTGGGAGACCTGGAAGAAGCTCCTGGCTCCTGGCTTTGGATCAGCCCAGCTCTGGCCATTGCAGCCAATTGGGGAGTGAACCAGCAGATGGAAGACCCCCCCTCCCGCCTCTCCTTCTCTCTCTCTGTAACTGACTTTCAAATAAATAAATCTTTTTTTTTTTTTAAAGCATCCTAGATGCTGTGGAGGATGTTTTTCCTGAAGAAAACTTACTTTTGCTTCTGATAAGCAGAATACGGCAGACCTTCTTAGTCCACGGAGGGACTGAGCTAACGCTGGGTTCTGGCAGTTCTTAGGTCTGTATTCTAGGATGTGACCCGTCAGGGCTACTGAAAGCAGGAGATGTGTGCCGGGACTCCTGTCGTTTTCATTCCCCAGTACTGTGAAGCAGTCCAGTCCCTGGATAGCTCTGCAGCATTCCGCCTGGTCTCATCACCTATCATTGAACACAGGCATCAAAGACACAGTGCTGTGCTCACTTCCCTGGGATCTCCATAGCCTGAGAGTGGGACACAGAGTCCCCTCCCCTCCTGGGCCTCTGAATAGCCCCTCTCTGCTGGACTTCTCCGCAGTTTTGCCCGGTGCATCTTCAAAATCCATAGATGTCTCAAAAGGAAAAATAGTACAGCATATCTGATTGCTATAATTATTATTTCTCTTCTCCCTACGATCTTGGCCACTTGCATGCTGACTGCCTTGTCATTTAACAAGTCTTTAAAGTAGTTTTTTTAATCCCACTTCTGTAGTGTGTCTGCTATGGGATGATTCTCATGGCCAGAACTAAGTCTCTCCCTGGGCCCGTGACTCCTCCCAGAGTCCAGACGTCTGTTGCCATCCTGAGATGTGGGGTGATTTCATCCTGTGTCATTGCCCCGGGATGCTGTCTTGTTGGACTGCGTTTTGCAGAGGGCATGTTCGCATCGGGCTGTTTCCTGGCTGCCAGTTCAGCCTTCAGTTCAGGCAGGGGTAGAGGGGGTGTGCTTGTCCTGCCCACACAGCGATCATTAACCTAGGTAACCTTGTGAGCTGAATTTGAGAAAAAAGATGTCTCTGGAGGAGGAGAGAGCTGATGGTTCCTGCCTTCAGACTCGGCTAGATTGAATTTGTGTCTTCCAGGTCTTTGAATTCTAGCCAAACTACCGTGATGGATAAATGTGAGAGTTCTGTGTGGCAAAATACGGAAGTCTCCATATTCCTAGATATCATTCTCTTCATCCCCCTCAAAAGCAGTGACATGTTATAATAACACTATTAAAGCCCCTCAATAAGTGTGGGCTAAGTGATGAAAATTTAATATTAACAAACCTGATTCGAAGCCTCGGGGGTGGAGAAGCAAAGCCTTCCTCCCTGACTCATGCCGACTTCTGCCAAAGGGTGAGATGAAATAGAGATTGATTGCAAAGGTTTCCCACGAGAGGACTAAGCCATGAAGTTCTTGCTGTTTTGTTTTTCCTCAGCCGTTCGCCAGAGCAGTGATTCCCAGGGTCTTCCAGAAAAGGATCCCGTCTGCAGACACACTTGACCACTGGAGGGGAATTTTCCTTTTTACAAGAAGAAAATTCTGGTGGCGAGTTGCCCAACGACAACAGGACCCAGAGCTGTTGAAACAGGTAAGTCACTTGTATTGAGGAGGGTGGGAGGCACCTTACGGAGCAAGTGTTAGAGTGGGTCATTTCTTGGTCGTCCAGAAATGAAGAGTACTAGGGTCTTCAAAAAGGTCATGGAAAAATGCATCTTATGAAAAGTTGTGGGTGACTTTCAAAATTTTTGTACCAAAATCAACATCTTTTATTTCCTTTCTCCCATACATGTTTTAAAGTATCCTCGGTAAGTATTTCACCAAATATAGGTTAAATGATCCTTGTCACTGATGATCCTAATTCTAGATTTAATGCCCAGTTCTTTCTTCTACTCAGTAGCTCAGTAAACTTAAACAAGTCGCTTAAATTCTCAGAACCCCAGTTCTTCCATGTATAAAAGAAAATTTCATAGAAACAGGCTTTGAAATGGGAGGGCATGAAGTTTTAAAATGTAACGGGCATTGTTTATTTGTTGCTAGTATAAAGTTCTGTGGAATAGTGGCCTCGTGTCTCCTAGTGTTTGGGGACCTTAGAACTTGACGTTTTCAGTCTGGGGGCTTGGACTTCCGAGTGCTGGGCGGAAGGAGGCGTTCCCTGTCTGCCCCTTCTCTGAGAACAGCATCTGACCATTCCTCTGGCTGTAGCTCTCTGCTGCCAACTTTTTAGAATTTGGGGGAGGGGAAGGGAGCTAATGATAAGATCAAAGGAAAGAAAATAGCGACTATTGTTTGCAAGCATTGTATTTCAGTTATTTGAATATGTTATTTGCTTTAATCCACACACCAGGCCTTGTAAGCTGAGCGTGCTGCCTACTGTACATTTCTCTGTAGGCTATGGGACCCCCTGGGGAGTCATCCCTTAATGTAAACACCACTCTCTTAAAACATTTAAAATGAATTTTTTAAATGAAAAGATGTTTTTTATTTGAAAGGCAGAGAGAGACAGAGCTATCTCCCATTTGCTATTTCACTCCCCCAAATATCTGCAACAGCCAGGCCTGGGAAACTCAATCCAGGTCTCCCTTGTGGGTGGCAGGGACCCACGTACTTGAGCCATCACCTGCTGCCTCCCAGGGTCTGCTTTGGCAGGAAGCTGGAATTAAAAGTGTAGTCAGGACTCAAACCCAGGCACTCCCATATAGCATATCATTGTCCCAAGCTGTGTCTTAACCAGCACCAAATGCTGGCCTCCTCAAAATTTTTTTTAGTTTAGCATCCAAACGGGGGTGTATTCTAAGTGTAAAATACCCATCAAATTTAAAAGATTTAATTTTAGATAGCTTAATTGTTATTGATTATATTGTGAATATCTTTAATATATTTAGATAAGGATCGATTATTAAAATTTAAAAAAATATGCTCTTGTTTACAATAATTTGAGAAATTGTTTGGAATGGTGGGAATTGGAAGTTTTAAAATTTTTGCAATTTTTTAACAATGTATATGTATAGCTTCTGTAATAATAAAGTATCTTTTTTAAAAAATATGATGAAATTTTCAAGAATTTTTTGTTAAGCCCCTAATGGGAGTGGCCTCAGCTGCTTGCTCCCATGAACCCACAGAGCCGCTCCAGGCCTGGCCTGGTGGAGCTTCGGGTTCAGTGTGGAGGGATGCACACGCTAAGTGCATCAGCAGGGTTTGAGAAGCCGACAGCAACAAGCGAAAAGGGAAAGCAGAGCAGGGTAAAAGGCAGGGGGGCTTCCAAATGGGAGGGGCCAAAGTGCAGTGCCCAGTGCTTTGGGCAGGGGCGGCCTCCATGGGGGAGACAAGAGGTCAAGTGTATGGTCAAGGCAAGAAGGAAATAACTGATGCAAAGACCTCAGAAGGGAGCGCAGGCGGTGTGCCGGCTGGCGTGAGCGTGGAGAGGCGCTAGGTTCGGAGGAAATGCTGGTATTTCCTTGTTTTAGATACTGTCAGAGTTCGTGTTCTGTTGCTGTGGCAGAGCTCCTGAGACTGGCTTGTTTATAGAGTTCAGAGGTTGATTTGGCTCAGAGTTGGAGAATAAGAAGTCCAAGAGCACTGCACTTACACCTGGCGAGATCCCTCGACCCGCATCATCCCATGGTGGAAGGCAGAAGAGCAAGAGAGGGCGAGAAACCCATTCGCTCTGCAGACGATAGCTCGCTGCACGATAATGACATTTACGCACTCTGGAGGCCCAGTGCTCACGACCTACCCAGCTCTCATCAGCCCCACCGCCCAGCATTGTTGCCTCAGAAATTGTTTCAGGGGACACATTCAGACCTAGTGGTCACAGAGAGAAGCGTGTTCCCTCAGCAGTGACAATGCGCACAGACATGCAAAATAAATTAGACCTCCATCCACCACCATATTCCTTTGCTAGGGCTGCCACAGCAAAGCACCGCACACGGGTGGCTTACAACATCGGAGCTGTATTGTTTTGCAGTTCTGCAGGCTAGAAGTTCAAAATCAAGCTGGGGCTGTGCTCCCTCGGAGACATGCATGGGGAGCCTTCTTCGCCTCTGCCTAGCCAGAGGCGGTCTTGGCATCCTTGGCACGCCTCAGCTTGCAGCTCTGTCACTACAAGCTCTCCCTCCCGACACCTGCTGCTCTCGCTGTACGCCTGGCTGCCCACGAGTCTCCTCCCTCTTCTTCCAAAGATACCAGACACTGGAGTAAACGCCCACTGTGCTCCAGTCTCCAAATAAGGTCACATTTTGTGACACCAGGGTCAGGATTTCAACTTTGTGAGGGGCGCAGCACAGCCCTCTGAAACAATAAGCGGTAGCTAAGTTCCCACGCTACGCTCAGGGAAACAGGCCCAGAAAGCTCAGATGACTGGCTCGGGGTCAGGGTCAGTGATCAAAAGAGCTGGGCCAGTGTGATTTTCCTGTGCCTTTCATGTGGTGCGGTGGCTGTGACACTGAAGTGCAGCCAACAGGAAGCTGGCACAGGGCGCGTTGCACACTGCAGGCCTGGCCTGCACTGCTTGGCCCTAGGACAGCTCACGGCAGAAGCTGTGTCTCAGCGTGCCTGTTGAAGGCAGGGTGGAAACTCGCTCCACGGCCTAGTCCCCATTTGGCGTCTCCTCTCATAGCATGACAAACAATGGGAGCAGATGCTTTCTCTCTTTCGGGTAGCTTTCTAGGAAAATGGTGCTGTAATCTCTGTAGCATGTACAACAGTGTGTGATGGAAACACATGTTTTCTTATGCTGGATCACAACATGGGAGGAATATATCTATCTCTCTATCTCCCTCTGAATCAGCCTATTGCAATAGAATTAGGGGATTTTGAAAGCATTTAGTAGATTGCTTTTTCGTTAGATTTCATCAGATTTTCAGATTCCTCTTAAGTATGAAGCCTGTGTAGCCATTTGGGAGTCTGAATCCACGCTGGAGCTCATTTTGGGCACAGTCATGAGGGATACACCTCAGAAGGAGAAGGAGGCACAGAGCAGAGCTGGCCACTTCCCCGTGGGTGCGCCTGGGCTGAGCGCAGTGGGGATGAAGCCCCCAGAGGCAGTCGTGTCAGAGGAAGGTGTATAAATCTTGGTGGAGGAGAGCTCACTCTGGGGGATGCGACGGAGCTGGAGTAGGAAAGCTGATGTCGCTGGTCACAAGCAGAGAGTTTAGAGATACATCAAAAAGGGGAGCTCAAGAGGCAAGCGACGTTTCAGAAGACGGCTGCTCAGGGCTTGCCCAGGGCCCCGACTGCACAGTGTGTGTGTGTTGGGAGTGGGATGTGGAGTTGGGTAAGACTGGGCAGCCCTCTACATGCCTTTCCTAAGTATGTTTTGGTTACCTTATCCTGAGGTTTCAAGGTCTGTTCTCTCAAAGCAACTTTTTAAAAAAACATTTTCATCTACTTGAAAGGCAGAGAGATTGATCTTCCATTCCCTGGTTCAGTCCCCAAATGCCCATGGCAGCTGGGGCTGAGCTAAGCCAGGAACTGCATCTGGACCTCCCACCTGCATGACAAGGGACAAAGCACTTGGAGCATCACCCACTGGCTCTCAGGATGCATTAGCAGGAAACTGGACCAGAAGCTGGGTACCTGGGACTTGAACTGGCTCTCTGGCGTGTGACGCCAGCATCCCAAGCAAGTGCTTACCCACTGTGTTGCAGTGCCTGCCTGGCCCATTCTGTTTCCTGTGTTCTAAATGTGTTCTTACTCCCCCTAAGCACTGGGGCTTCTCTGGGTGTTGAAGCATATGTTCTTCTTAGTACAGAAAAAAAAGAAGAGGAAGAAGAAGAAATTTGGTGGTTTTTGTTTTGTTTGTTTTTTGCAAAGACCGCCTTTTCTCTTTTAGCACTTATTTTCTTTGACCCTGGAAGTGTGTAGAGACAGCAAGGTCTATCTTTAGTTCTGCTAAATTAAAACAGCCCATTGTCTTGGTGGGATGTCAGCACCCAGAATGCCACTGCCCTCAGCTCAGCCGGATCGCACAGGCTGCACGGAGTTGTAGAGACTGGTCAGCACCGGTCTGCGTGGGTGAGGAGCCAGCTGGTACTGGGAACTGCAGACGAAGAGCTGCTGCTCTCTCCTCCTGGAACCGATGACCGTGGAGTTAGGCTGCATGGGCCAAGCAAAGCAGGTGTAATGGGTTTAAATTACAGACCCCGGAAGAGACAGCTTTTCCTTAGAAAAACCAAAAGGTGACAGATATCAAAACTAAGAAACCAGGACCAGCGCTGTGGCATGGCAGGTTAAGCTACCACCTGCAATGGCAGCATCCCCTACAGGCACTGGTTTGAGTCCCAGCTGCTCCAGTTCCAGTCGAGATCCCTGCTAATGTGTCTGGGAAAGCCATGGGTGACCACCCAAGTGCTTGGCCTTCTGCACCTATGTGGGCGATCAGGAAGAAGCCCGGGGCTCCTGACTTTGCCTGGTCCAGCCCTGACCATTCAGCCATTTGGAAGTAAACCAGTGGATGGAAGATCTCTTTCTTTCTGTCCCTCTCTCTGTGTAACTCTGCCCTTCAAACAAACAAACAACCAAAAATAAATAAATAAATAAAATAACAGAGAAACCTACCTGATCCCACGTATCACTAGGGAATGGGAACAG